CCGGTCTGGTCATTTTCCAGCACACCCTTAATCATTAGCATTAGCATTAGCATCTCCTAACCCACAGGTCTGTGTCCTAACCATTAAGACGGCCATGTTCATTTGAAGCTATCAGTAAAAATGTCAGTTGTTTGGGATTATTTTATCCTATTTTGTGTTTATCCCTGAATAAACAGGTCAGTGTATCTTTACCAACCAGTGTGTATTATTCAAACTCACCTGTTTCAGCTGGCTAGTTATCAGAGTAAATCCCTGTTCAACATGAGTCTGACATCTAAGTAAGTAGATAAATAACTTGAATAAGTTTAATACATCTTCTGATAGGCCATCACTAAGTCCATTATGTTTGGGTTTGCAGCAGACATGATGTCCCGATGCTGCTTTTTTCCCTTCCGATCCGATACCTACCGATCCCGGCCTATCAGAGCATGTATTAAAGTCTAAAGTTATTTATCTACTTACTTAGTTGTCAGACTCATGTTGAACAGGGATTTACTCTGATAACAACTTAATGGTTAGGACATAGACCTGTGGGTGAGGAGACGCTAATGCTAACGCTAATGCTCGTGTGGGATCAGACTTTTTTTTAAAACTGGATCTGGAGTCTTTTTTGCAAATATCAGCGGCCGATCTGATCCAGATATCGGATCAGGACATTCCTACTTGAAACCATCACTGAGTCCATCCCGTTTGGGTTTCAGCGGACGGCTGGCCGACGGCTCTGGAGGACAGCGCTGCCCGGCGGGACTGGGGCTGGAAACCTAAGTACGACCTCCCCCTGCTGGTCCAGACCATGCTGGCTCACGCCCGTCAGACAGAAGCCAACTGAGCAGCTTCATTCAACAGGGAACGATTGCAGAGACTTTTTCAGCCTTTTAGTCTTGTTCAAGTCTTACAGAATACCTTCGAGGGAAAGTCTTGAGGCACCCTCCTACGTTTATTTATTTCCACTCATAGATCTCAGGCTGTGGTGTTTTTATATCTGTCCTCCTCATCTGACTCTGATTCAGTCACTAAAACAGGGAACTCCACATGTTGCTGCAACTTTGCTTTCAGGGATAAAAATTCATAAAGATTGTAAGTGCTGTTTTTTTATAGTATTTATATTTAAACCAATTTCTTAGAGCTTAAGACTGTCTAGAACTAAGACAGTGGATTTTCTTATGTTGATCTGAGTTATTATGCTTTCCTGTCAAAGAAAAGGATGATTTTTTTTTTTTTAAATAAACTTTTTTAAAAGGTTCTTTGTGACTTTGAGCTTCTTGTTATGTGCACATGCTCTTAAACTGCTGTCCTGGACTTGTCATAAGCAGAGAAAATAGAAATCAAAAGGCTAAAGTTACAATGAAATGATGAAGAATGGAAAGAAAACAGATTAAATAGAAAGTGGACAAAATAACCAAGAGAAAATCTGAATGAATTCTGAATCTCGGCTCATGAGATTAGCTGAAGGTTTCCATTTATTCAGCCAACAAATGAGTCCTCAGAAGGAGCTCCGGGTTCTTAAACAAAGGTTGTGTTTCCTGACTGAGGTCCTGCCCTCACGCCGCCTTTACGGACTCCTTCAGTCCTCCTTTAGCTTTGGTTTTAGCTCTGGCTGGTGGCTGGGTGGGCGATGGGCTGTGCTGCCCCCTGGTGGCCGGAGCAGCCAGCTGCAGCTTGATCTGCAGGATGTCTGTGAGCAGAAAGGCCTCCTGCTGCAGGCTGGCCGCCACCTGGCCCAGAGAGGCCCCGACGGCAGCCTGAACCCGCCCCACAGCACCCTGCCACACACACGTCCAGCTGTCAGGGGTCTGAGCCGATCCACGGAGGCTCAGAGTGGATTTGGGTTCATTTAGAGCAGTGTTTTTCAACCTTTTTTGAGCCAAGGTACATTTTTTCATTGAAAAAATCACGAGGCACACCACCAAACTAAAAATGTTAAACAAATCTGTAGCCGCCTATAGTGACACTATAGTTGTTCTTATTTTATCTTAAGTGTCTTGAATAGGAATCAAATAAACAAAAATGTATTTTTATCATATTTTATATTTCTTCTTTCAAATTGCACTTAACATGTCCACTTCAATATACAAAATTATATACAAAATCTAGTCATAAGGAATTATTACATGATTACTCCACCAGTCACTAGAACAGCACAGACACTCAAAAATGGCATATTATTTGCAGGTAATTAATTCCTTATCAAAAAATCTTTTTAGACCAATTAGGTGAAATAGGATGATTTTCTACGGCACACCTGATGATAATTCGTGGCACACTAGTGTACCAAGGCACAGTGGTTGAAAAACACTGAAATAGACATAAAGTGGTGTATATTGATATGTTTCTCATTTTGTTGTCACAGATGAGTATCATTAATGATTACTAATAAAGTATAACTAAAAGCATATTGAGCAAATGCATTATTTCAGAAGAGTGTATCAAACTGGTAGCCCTTCGTGTGACTCAGTACCCATGAATTAGCTCTACGTTTCAAAAAGGTTGGTGACCCCTGATTTAGAGGTAAAAACAGCTACCTGTTTGTCCCCCGGGGGGGGGATGTCCCCCAGAGAGACTTGAGGGTTTTCTCTGAGACGCCTCAGCTCTTCTTCCTTCTGCTGCCAGGCGGAGATGAGTTCTGCTGCCTGCTCAGTTTGGGTGTCCCACTGCTCCATGTCCGTCCCCTGAAAAACCGGGACGGCTTTGAGAGGAGATAACAGAACCGGTTCGGCCTCCCGGGTATTTCTGGGGTTTGTGCCCGGATTTAAACATGCATTCTCGCTATTATCAGACTTTGTAAAAAACAAAGCAGACAATTTGTCAGAGGTGGAAGCATCACAGTCAAAGTAACTGAAGGAGAACTAGTAAAACAGAGTTTAATCAACGGTTTTCACCTTTTCTCTCACTTTGGTCATCAATCTGTACTCAGAGAGTACAGAATTATTGACATTATCCCTTATTTTAGACCTATATATATACATATAGTTACTTATGTACATATTTATTTATATTCTGCATGGAATTTTGTATATATATATATGTATATATGTATAGACATGTACATATGTATATGCTGTTGTTTTATTTCTCGAGTGAGTAACAAAAATAAATTCCCTCTGGGATCATTAAAGTATTTTCTAATTTTCTCTCTTTTTTTTTTTTTCTCTCTGATTTTCTCTTTTCTCTCACTTTGGTCATCAATTTGTACAACGCCTCCCTCAGAGAGTCAGATCCCCCCTCGCTGTAAATTCCAACTAAATTATTGCCATTATCACTTATTTTAGAACTATATATATATACATATAGTTACTAATGTATATATTTATTTATATTCTGTGTGGAATTATATATACTGTATGTATGTATGTATAGACATGTGTATATGTATATGCTGTTGTTTTATTTCTGGAGTTAGTAAGAGACATAATTTCCCTCTGGGATTATTCATATATTTCAGATTCTGATTCTGATTCTGAAATGTTTTTGTGAGTTCCCAGCAGATACTTGGATGTTTTTGATGATGCGTCTCATTGAAAAGACGGACCTTATTTAGTGGACAGGGAATGGGCGGCAGGTCCACCTGCAGCTGGATCTGAACCGTGGAGGTTTTGGCTCCGCCCGCCACGGCCTGGAAGAGCCGGCTCCTCCTGAAGCAGCCGTCTGTGAGGAGACGCGTGAAGTCGTGCTGGTGGACGGAGGTCAGGTTTGGGAAGCCTCTCAGCAGGGACAGAGACCGGTGGACGCTCACATCTGTGGGGCAGAGAAAAAAGGGAACTCCTGCCCTTTAACCCTTTAAAGCCTGATCCAAGAAAAATTCACATAGACAGTACTTTATTGATCCTTTGGAAAGACTCCCTCAGGAAATTAAATAGGAAGAATTTTTTATTTTTTTTGTCTGATGTCTTTCTTTGACCCCTCAACAACATATGAAGAAAAAAAACAGAAATTATTTTGATCAAATTAGCGTGCAATAAGTCAAAAATGTATTTTGGTGTAGTCTTCTACTGGCTGTTATCAGGTATATCTGAATGTATACAACAGGGGTTTGAGCAAAGCTTTTACCACTGAATGATCCAAAAAGTCTCAGATCCAAAAGACTTCAGAAACCGTATCTATCAAATATGATACATTTGGCATTATAGGGTTAAGACAACAGATTGGACCTTTTTATGGGCCACTCAGAGGGAGACTCTCAGATTGAGATGTCAGGACCCCAGTTTGGAGCTCAGAATTGAAAACGCTTCACATTTTGCTGAGTAAAAAGACAAATAAAAACCGGGTTGATAGGAATCGTGAGCTGCTGGGTTTGCTGACCGTCCATCTGTGGGAAGAGGCTTTTGGCGAGCTCGGCCGCCCGCACCACGTCCGGCCAGGAGAAGCCGCGGCCCACAGCGAACAGCAGGACGTCGAAGACGAACTCCTGATGGAAGAGACGCCTGTCGTCGGAGAACTCTGACCACAGGAAGTGACGGCTGAGCCTCTGCACACCGGCGTCTCTCTGAAAACACACACAGAGTGGTAAGAATCCTTAATGTGAGGCCTCAAAGGCAGCATCTGAACTGTCCAGCCACAGATCATAAAACATGACCTAATTATAACTCGTGTAGAGTTTCTCCGTTCTCCTTTGGCGAACTTTAGAAGATCTCAACCTGTTTGAAGGGGTTTATTCTGTAAAAATAAGGACACCCCTGCAGGACAGCAGCACCCCAGGACCAAAGTTTGAGACTCCTGGTTTATAGGAATCAGAAATGGTTAGATGGGTGTCAAACATGCAAACCCAAATATCACACAGATTCTCTGATTTGTTTTGAATCAGCTTTCACTATTAGAGCCTGTAGAACTTCCACAAAAAAACATCAAAACTCTTCATGATATTCTGCACTTTTAAACAGTTACATGTGTGGAAAAAGTGGATTTTTTCCTCTGATATTTGCTCTGTAATACCTCGTCCTTTTGAGAAACCTTCTTTGGAAGAAACAAAAAAATAGTATACAAGCAAATCAAATTTGTCAGAAAAAATATAAAATGTGTGAAGTCAAATTAACCATTTATAAACTAAGAACATGAGTCTTTTTCCTAATAATTACCAGAATATAGAAAATTAAAGCATAACATTTATCTCCTGTTTAGAATAACAAACTAAAAGGTTAAAAAATACTGAATAATTCATTATGAGAAATAAATAAGTGACATAGGATTATTTTTTGCGTTAAATACTAAACTTGTCAATGTTTTAAGGCCACTCGGGGGCAGTTCAGGATAAGCTTCAAGCTAACTTGACAAGATAATATTCCAGAGTATTTCAGAAACGTTTGAATGTGTATTTTCGGTTACATTTTCCATCAAATCAAAGTGTTATAAACGTTTGCCCACCTGGAGTCTGACTATCTGAGTTATTTCACTCTTTGTGAGGGATTCCATCTCGATAAGCGGCTAAAGCACACTCAGTTGCCATGGAGACTGACGCGGAAGTGAGGCAGGGGCGTACGTCTCTAATGTAAACGTGATGACGACACGAATACGTACGACGTGAGTCAGTTGTTGCGATGTGAGACTATTCAGTCGTGGAGCGTCAAATATTGTGTAATTAACCCACTTCCAATTAAACATGACTCAGTATTTTTTTAAAATGAATAATTAAACATGAAGCATGTTTAGTTAATTAATTTCCGTTTTTGTTAGGTTGACTTTCAACATGTTCGGTTCCACATTTTCTTGGAAAACGATTGAAAAAACCTTTATTCAAATGGTTTGAGCTTCTTTTGTGTCGGAGATAAACGGCTGTTAACAAAGCTTGTAAGTCCAGGGCCACAGATGGCTCAGGAAGCTAATCCTCTTTAAAAATGAATCCCACTCCTCTTCTATTCCCTTCTTTCTCTCGGCCCCTCCTGTTCTCTATCAAATAAAGCGGAGGAGAGGGTGTGAGGTTTTTGTTGATAACAACTAACGCTTAGTTTCTCATTTCCGGTCGGCTTGTTGGGAGTAAAAGCTGAAGGCTTCCGTTTAGAAATCACTGCATCACTAAACCAAGACAAGGAAATATGATTACAGTTATAATAACCTAATTAATTAATTAATTAATTATATAAACAGAAAGGTTTTAATTATTTTTTTTAACTAATGTTGTGTGTAGGTTTCCAGTCACCAGGATTGGATGGTTTTCACTTTCTTCTTTTCCACTTCACTGAGCCATAACCTGCAATTGGGCGCACAGATTTCTGGACGTGTTCCTGAGCACATGCAGGGATTTCAAGCGCAAAACCAGGCCTGAATTTAATGAAGCTGCCTGGAGATCACAGATATGTCTTCATATTTTCTTAGTTTTCAGCTGATTTGGTGTTCTCAAGATGACAGATAATTCAAAGTCTGAGAGAATTAAAGGCTTTTCAGCAATCATTCTCTCTTTTTTTTTAGCAGCATCACTTTAAATCTTCATTTTTGAGAGTCTCTGCCTCTTTATGTGCGCTTCTTATGCCCACTAATGTCACTAACTGTTGCTAATCGACCTTATTAGTTAAAATAGCTGTTTAATTTCGGTACCACTAATTTTTCCAGCACTTTTCAAACTTAAAAAAAACGTTATTCAAAATTAGCCTCTTTTTCTTTAAACGGTAAATTACAGATTTTAATCTTTAATATGTTTGTCGTGCATTATTGATATAATATTGGTCTGAAGGACTTTATAACCTCTTTGTTTTGTTTTTACTGATATTTACCCTGTCTGCACTTTTTAGGCGCCTGGATCAGCGTTTTTTATTATTGTGAAAGTCCGGATCCCCGTACTTCCGGTTACCTGCCTCCTGTGGACTGAACGCGCGCGTGCTGACGGCCGTGAGCCACCTGCACGCGCAGCTCCTCTCCGGCTGCTCAGCTGCTCACGCCTCGGCTCGTGACCACCAAGTTTCCCCCCTAAACCCATCTTTTGTTGGGATTTGTTAGCGGATGTTGACCAGCCTCTGGCGTCGTCATCATCAGAACTTGGTAAGATGGATCTCTTTATTTTCCCTGATTTATTCACACCTGTTGATCCGCTCACAGAAAGAGATAAATAGAAAAGCAGGTTTTGCGTATCGGGCGCGAGGAACTCCAGATCTGGATGAATTTCTATCCAAAGCATGTTTCTTTGTTGGTCAGAAGTGAGTCAGACTCTTCCTTCT